AAACTTGTGGAATATCTTGTAGTTGATAGGTATGGTTAAAATCCTATGCCATTCCTCTGTCGAACGTCACGTGACTTCGAATTATCACCATCAGTGTGTTATGTGTCGCATCAAGAGTACGTCATGTCACGTGACCTTGTTATCCCCTGTCACTTTCCGACCACGTGATAAATGGCGTCATTTTCTGAGTGACGTACATATATTTAAGGTACTCTCGTATCACGTGACGTATGATACAATGTACAAATATGGATGTGTCATATACACGTATGGCCTCACAACGGTTAGATTGTACACAACAACTTCCTGTCACGTGACATGAAAATTATCACCATAGTGTTTTTCTTACTGTTAGTATTATATTAAATGATATTTCACTGGATTTTGAAAAAGAAAAAAAACATTGTAGGAAAGAGAATTCAGATGAAATACATCTCGTGGTACAAAGATTCAAGATTGTTTATATATCGCATTATATTGTTTTGTTTGCTACACATTCATGTTGTTTGATTGGTTAACTTTTCTTTTCAGAAATATTCCTGCAAAGACAAAAAAGAATAACGTAACTTCTAGTGTTGATGCTATCTTCAACAAGAACTACGTTTTTGAACAATGTAAAAATATTAGGTCTTTAATAGGGACGAATTGAAATGATTAATTTGGTTTTAAAATGACTGCACGTATCTATAAATGGATTTTCGATGTGAAATCGCTAAGAAACATGTTATTTTATATTACCGTTTCATTCAGCCATTCAAAAAATCGACCCTTTTCGTGAATCTTCGTTCAGATAGGCATAACATTTTGTGCTGTCAAAGATTTAAACCAAATTACACAGTTAAGTACGCGTACGCACGCATTCACATACAGCAATATATAGCTGTCTATATATCTCCTAAACGTTTAGGAATCTCAAAGTACGCTTAACCTTTCATTTAAAGTGTCAAAGTGTGATGTTTGCCATTCCATTTCAATGTGAACACCACAAATTTATCGATGTCCTTTAGACCTCTTCAAATTAAATTAACAAACAGCACACACAAGCGTTAATGTCAGTTCGCCATTACGCTTTTTCATGTACAAGAACCATGTGTTTACCATCAACAGTTACGCCGAACAATGAACTCTTATATACATTGATCGTTTTATCTGTAAAGGTTTTAAAACTTTATATTCATTGCATACATTGCAAACACGTCAGATAACTTATTTTCATTATACACAAGTAACATGCCATGTTTACTATTTTTCTTATTTCAAAAGATGCCATAAGCTTCACAACAGAGGGTCAAACAATGAACAAAAGCTGTCATGATAGTCTTGTTCACACGAGTGTATGTTTTGTTCACGTCATTCAAGTGTTTCGTAAGATTGGTAAAAACGGATGGAATTATATCTTCTGTATATGAATTACAATACGGAATTTCAATTATTATTTTATTTATTGAAATGTATTTGACATTTTTTCAATTAAACGATACATTATGGAATCAGAAAGCACGTTCATTTAAATACTCATTTGAATAATTGTGTCTCTGGTCGCCAGCGCGTGACCACGTACGCGTGCGTCCGATACAATCGGGATCGGTATATATTGTAGTGATTTGTAAGAAAAGTAGCACAAAGTAAGGACGACGCTTAACACAATCAGATCCAAGAGAACGTCTGATCAACCTTGGTTATCGCTTCCATCTTTCCCGTCGTAATCTCGTTTAGACGAGATCTCGCCTGCCTCGTGTACCTTCCTCGGGCTAACGCGCGCCTCCTCGTCTACACTAGCGAGAAAATTAATTTCTGAACTTTATCGATGGCGCCCACAAAGTTAATTAAAACATGCATCTCCATAACAAATGATGAAGTTACTGCACATACGCTAAACGATTTGATTACCCAACTATATTTAAATAAAGTTTATCGACTTGCTTTTCCTTCAGTAATGGTGAAAATAACAAATTACCGAGTCAGCACACTACTGCTTCCCTTTGACTGAGGGCTTCAGAGTTGCAGACGTGTTTCTATAAATGACCGAAAAGTAACGCAATCAAAACACAGTTAAACAGTAGTCTAATAACCTCGTGCGATAATCATTAACTGAATTCAATATTTTGTTTTCTGTCGTTGAGCTGAGCTGCAGGAATATTGGTGGGTGCTAGCGACATCAGCCGCAGCAATCACAAAGGGTCTATCACCGTAGCCAAAGACACCCCGTTACAGAACCTAAAGTTCAAGGTGAAGAAATCGTAATACGGATTACTGATTTATCGTAGACGAAATAGATTTATCAGCCCCTGGCCTACTGTCACGGCAGCTCGAGGGGGATTATATACATGATTTCCTAGGAATACACAATCGTCTCTGGGTCCAAATACGTCATCGTTAGCACGCTGATTACAAAGCGGGAAATATCCGGAGTTTGTGTATTCTTAATCCGAGGGAAATGTGCTTGGAATTCTGTCAGGGCCGTTCGGACATATTGTCTTGGTGAATGATAAATTGGTGTACCACTCCCCGACAGCAACAGTAAATGAATGACGATGAACATATCCAAAAACTCCACCCCAGGCCTTTTTTTAATATCATTATTTTCGCCCACTTCAGACAGGAATGTCTATACTTCCGGCTAGGTGACAATCGGCGCCAAGTGGCGGATCCAGAGGGGCTTTTTGGGCTTCAGACCCCCCTCCCCATCAACTTAAACGTCAGAAGATGTTGTGCTTTCAAAAGGATGACTTGAATATCAATAGAACTATCTATGGTATTTTGAAATTTATTATTTTCATGCTACAAAAAAATATATAATCACAAAGACTGCATGTTTTTGCAGTTTTATATATCAGCGTTTTAGTTGGTGGCATTCTTGTCAGCGTGTCAGACTGATTGTGTGACGTTAGGGGGCCACCTCGAAACTGCAACGTCACACCCTGCACGATGCGTGTCACGTTTTGCGCATTCTATTTATCTGCGTTTCCTTCCGAGGGTCTAGAAATATTTGTTAGCTTATTAAAACGAGACTTCCTCATTGAATTTAATTTAATCTGCTTCAATTTTGATAAATATTAAAACTTAATCTTTTGTTTAATTATATTTATTTTGAGTTTCATTTGCGTATTGGCTGTCTTGTTCCAAATGTTATAGTTTACGGAAAACGTATTAGTTTATTTTTTACCCTAAAGAAATGTTTAAGCAGACGAGGCACATACATCTGGCCTTGGTTGATACTTTAGAACATGCACGTGCAAATGCAGAAGATCGGATGAAGTCTTTCTTCCTAGGTTTGTGATTTTTGACGAGAAGTAAGCAAAACAAGTTTAGTTAGAGGTGAGAAATTACCTAGCATCTGTGTGCAGTCTAAGTGTCCAATAACTCATTTTTTAGAACCCGTTGAAATTGCACGTTTTTATAAAAACATTTTACGCTATCAATGCAAATTGCTACGGTGTTAAATTTGAATCCAAAACGTATAACTGTTTATTGACGGATCTAGAGGATTTGTGTGGGCTTCAGGAGGAAACACACACCCTCCCACCCACCAAGAATAGTTTCTAAATACACCCTATGTTTTTTATCGTGCGCTGTTAGGTTAGCATCTCCTTGTAAAACAATAAATTGGATTTTTTTTCTCTCTCACAGAATTCGATTCTGCTTGTTAGTTGCGAAGGTCAAGAACGCATGTGCGAATACTTCACTGTTTAAATGACAAATACGTTGTTTTGTTGTTTTTATTCCATTAGTACATTAGCACCAGTAGCCTTGTAGTCCAGTTGATAACCTACTATACGCTACGTAAATGGCGACCAGATTATTTTTGAACCCGGGCGATTTGACATCAAAACGACTCGCAGACGGGTGCATTCGACTAGCCCAGCGTCTCTGATCGCTGACAGACGGGCGCGTTCGTCTAACACTGTCGCCGAATCTAATCCCCATGTTAACTCGTGTTTGTAAAGTGTACCGATATCGAGATGAACATTTTGTACCGTTCATCAAGCCTCAATTTCAACCCTATTAAAGTCATGTAATCGAGGCTTTTAAGCTTCGAGACTCGACTTGTCACATTTACGACCATCTTCAGAAAATACTTGTCACGTGAAATGTAGCTCAATTGCAGGAAGACGTATCTTCTGTTATGTAGACAGGGTAACCTCATATCTGATACGACAGGAAACTCTGACGTTTAAAACGACATTGATGTTTCAATTTACGAGAAACACTGCTATCTCGCTCGAGATGTCTATGTATGCGATTCAACGCTGGGTGTTTCTTGCTAAAGCCTCACTCCTGAAACGTCCGCCATTGATAAATGGACGAGTTTTGTCTAAATGTTTGTCTGTTTAACGGGAGTGTTATGGCGCGTGTTTGTCGTAAAACATTGGCCGAGACCTGTTGAGGGCTCTTCACTGGAGATCGGTATGTCTGTAGAAGTGGACACTTTACCTGGCTAAACAGTATGGCTGGGTATAGATAGGGTAGACCGTTGTTATTGTTGCAGAGTCATGATCTCGAGAGTTGTGAATGACCACTCATCGTTATACAAGTACCGGCTATTGACTGACCGAGCATTGTTAAGGGTTCTCAGACCGCGGTTTATTATCGTAATTTACGTTCAAGTAGTCTTTGATCTCCGATGAAAAAAAAATCTCGTAAAAAAAATGTAAGTGACTGATGATTGTCTAATTAGATGTGTTTTTAATATGTACAATGTAAAACAATCACATGATATTCATCATTATCTGAAAATAAATGCTCATCCGTCATGAAGTGTACAAATGTACATCACTCAATATTTCAACTGCGGAAAGGAAAATATATTTTAAAATAGCATTTGATAATGCGATTATGATCGATCAATTTTACGCCTAGACGACATAAGATTTCCATAATAAACTTGTTTTTTTTTAAACTAATGGCTGTTATGAATTAAATTATGATTGATTGACTCTATAACAATCTGAACTGGTCTTAAAAGTCTAACACTGACCTTTGTACATGTATGTTTTCAGAGAAGAATATGCCGGAAGTCGGATACACGGGTAACGATGACGACAACTGTTCAAGCACACCTGTGATTCATCAGAATCAATAAAAAGCTTTGTTTGAGGTAAGAAATAAGTCTGTAGATATTCTTGCGAGCATGACACCTGCATCAGAACTGCTGGAAATTAAAAATGTAAATTATTGTCTTGAACACAGCTAGAACACAGCTAGAACACAGCTAGAACTTACAGCGTAACCACTGATACGCTTGTAAGAAGCAACCTTTACCATTTTAGTAAAAAAAATCACTTTGAAACTAAAACAGTATTTTAGTATTGCGTTCATAAACGAAAATCATTGTTGCGGTTGTCATTCAAACAGCTTATTTGTGAGGGTAAGAATCAACAAATATTTGTTTTTTGAGTAGATGTTCTTAAAAATGAAAGTATTTCTCCATTTACGACAACTTGCAAACCTCTCCAAACGTCGTGTTAGGGCTTTAACGAACCAAAAGACAGGCATCTGTTTTTTATTGTGGAATTCGACTTCGTATCTAGCTAAATGAGGTCAAAGACCTACGCAATTACCTATGTCTACCTATATACAATCTGTCCTGTTTCAATGTTCGTGAGGTGTCACTTCCAGCGACCTGTTGACAAGTTACTCTCTTCCTGCCAAAACGATAAAATCTTATCACTACTCATTTGCATATTACCGGGTATTCTGCCAACCAGCATTATGATCATAATATTTACTTAGCACATGGGCAAACTGTCAGGATAAGGTCGGTATCCCAATACAAAAGATATTTCGGCCTAGTGCTAACTTTTGCATGTACACGTCAAAACAATATGCAAACATTCCCATGACGTGGATGTTAATTCAGTATCACGTAGGCGCTTGTATTGTGTCATTATATATCATTACTATTCACATTTAAATAATATGTATCGACTTAGCGTATTGAGATCGGAATGTTCCGGGATCAAGACCCGACAAAATTCTTAAGAAATGTCATACAGATTGATAATATTTAACTCAATGTAAACACACTTACAAAGTGTTAACTGTTTGCAGATAAAACCGAACTACCGGGTACAACCCAATCCGTGTCAATCTTTGGTAAATACATATACTTGTAGATTTTTTTTTTATAGAACTGATATCATTTATTTACATAATAACAAAGTTGTTGAAGTCTTTTGAGATTATGTTGATACCTAGCCCACTTTTTACGTATTAACCTGGATGTAATCAATGATATCAAACAATATTTAGTTTGTTGATTTTGGTATTTGCCTTGACGTATTTGCTAATATTTACAAAGTTTTCTCAAAGCTTGCTATCATCTTGTCTTAAGTGGTTTATTTACTGAAACGCACTTCTTCCGAAATCGTATTTGTCTCCAGTTCAACTGGATAAAAGAGTGTTAAAGTTTCAATAGGTGTTAACACGTTGGACCTTTTAGAGATATCTCCCTTCATTGTCTTATACTTTTGAATATCCAGTGTGGCTATAATGCATGCATTGACAGTTTGACATTCGACATATTCTTGGTGTCGAACTCTTTCGAAAAGGAGGGGCGTATCACTGTTTGGTACATGTAATATCAATCCTTAAGCTCTATGCAAAGGGCTGAACGAATCAAGTACTGAACATTGTCAGGAAAAGACAACTCTAACTAAGGGGTACCCTCTGATCCAAAAATATTGCCAGTGTAGGACTCATTTACATGAAAAAGTCATCATTTTCTGGAACTCATTTTTCTCTGATTTTTTTTTAATGAAAAGAGAAAGTACATTTCGTAAATTGTGTCGCGCATTGTGTCGTGAATTAAAAAGATATATATGTTAGTGACACCTGTTGTTATATTTAATGTGCTTTAGCATTTCTGTATTTCAAACATTACCCTTGTCATGTGGCAGTGTTGTTTCGAGAACTTGGCTTTTTTTTCAAAATCGTGTTCCTGAATCCATACTTCCATAGCATGTATAATCTCAAAGCACGGACGCGTGGCGTCATACTGGTCATTCGGCCGCAGAACGGACATTACCCCAGCAGGTGTTCACAGCCGACATCAGGAAGATGAATAACTACAAGAGAACAACAAACAAACGGATTGGGTTTTATACAATAATTGATCACACAGATGAGAACCAAATTGGGTTTTTTTCTGGGCAAGATCGATTCACTTCAAAATTGCCATAGAAACAAGTCTTATTGCGAGAACAAACTTGATACAAGCAGGTAAAAAGCTTGACACGGGAGTAATTATAAAACAATGCAACTCGAAATCAGATAGACGCTTTAAAGCAATTTGATCAAGTTTGTATAGAGTAAATAAAGAAGCGAATGTGATTTTCCGTTGTTTACAAGTTATAATTAATTTCAAGTCTCATTGGAAATGATTGAAGAAGCATATGGGTTTGCTACTTCACGCGCGCACGTGTCACCGGATATGGAAATCGTCACCAAACAAAATGGTAAGGTTGGGTAATTTTAGACACTGTTCGATAACGCCATTTTTATCACCTCCCACATCTGAATTGTAGCCAGTATTTCGGAAGGACTTTTATGTGAATTTTGATAAAAATGCAAATATCAACAAATTCTCATGAAAATCGCCCAAGTGTCAAAATGGCCGTATTGTTGGAAAGAGATTTCCGACCTTTTTATGAGGCGCTTGACATTCACCTGGCATGTGTTATAGAGGGAAGTCATATTTGGTTAAATTACTATCTTTCTGTTAAACACTATTGTAATGAATTTCTGTCGCCCATCTCTCTCTGACGGATTTGAAGATTAAATCGTGTGACATGATATATATACCGTACCATATATCTTCGCTAAATGTTTTAAAAAGACGGATAATACACTTGTAAATGTCTCTTAAAATAAGCAAAAGTGCCTATATCAGACAGTATGTTCTTTGAAAAACCATGGTTTCATTTCCAGCTCACGAACACTGTTGTGATTATTTTGTGTGGGAGCTACGTGTACAACACCACGTTTCGTTAATCACTTCAAATATTTGTCTATGTATTTTTGTATGTTCTGTTTCTTATACCCTTCAATGAGAGGCTCCGATAATAATATTTTGCCAATATTCTGACATAACGGTCTCAAAATATCAAATAAATCATTCACGTAAACGTAAGTCAGTAACTTATTTTGAAGATAAAATAAAAACAAACAAAAAAGTTAAATTTAACTTTGCAATATGTTGTTTGCTATCAAAAATTACATTCCGGAGGCTATGCGAAATACTGTTCAAATTTCTTTGGAATTTGGATTGAAGTTCGTAGCAATGATCGAAACTGGCATCCATATTTAAATGTAATTGTTAACGTAAAGGGTTTTTGTTTAAACTGAGGTTGTATTTCAAGATATTCGTAAACAAGAATGTTGTTCCCGATCTGTTTAATAATCAAACAAAGATCCATTCCTCTTTCATGTTTGTATGTCAAATACTGAAATGGCGAAGGAACGGCCACCAGCCCGCCAGAACGGGTTTACCGTCGAAATCGGCACAGCCATGTTGAAACTGTCACTCCCATGTTTACGTAAGCGTCCGTATCATGTGATATGTTGACCGCTTACAGGGACGTCTCTGTACACGACATGCATATGAACACTCTAGCCTCCACGTTGAAGAGTCTGTTGTTAAGATATACAGGACAATGTAGTCGATAAATTATTTTGCGGTGACCGTCAACAAGACAGCGCTGACAATTGAACAGTCGCCTGTGTCCTAGCATGTTCATGTATATTGTAAATTCCCATGAGGTTTTCCTTCCTATGAAAACATTCTTGAGATTTGGATTTCTGATTTTCTTTCAATCAAGATACGAAATGAACATATCAGCCGTCTGCCATGCATTAAACAATTCACTAAAGGCTCCGGACAGTGGTTTCATGTTGGACAACGTGGCGACCTCTGTTGGTAACATAATTTGATTTAGATATGTATTTGCACTTTAAATAGCCCCAACACGCTAACATGCCATTTCAAAGCCACTACAATTGTCGTTTTGCAATAAAGCTAACATATTTAATTTCCTTTGCTTCCTCCACTAACTTGCTCTAATATTATAGGATTTCTTTCATTTAAAACAAATCGAGATATCTGAAATTCATTCTCAACAGAAATTACTCAGATATGTTATCGTAGAAAATTTATTGTCGGTTGCATTTGCTTCGACGGCAAAACAGGAGGGCTGTTCCATCAATTTAATTTGTGGAAATGTGAATCCTCCTGAGTCAAAGTAGACTAGTCTGGAAAGGTCGCCAAGGCGTACCATACAGTCGGAGTGACATTAACACTCGCAAGCACAAACCTGGCAAGCAGAGGTTTCGCAAATGTGCCATTAGCACCTTACAGTACATTGAGCGGTAAACGGTTTTAAATCAGCTCGGATTGAAACTCTATAAATTTCCAGGAATGTTTACTCAGATTTGGTGAACATGGGTGTTTAAGGCGTTTATAGGTTCGGATTTCATGCACTTTTCCGGAGAATGTAGAGTCACTGAGTGGCAGGATGTTCGTTTCGTGGTGTCAATTGCATGTCGTGTACCTTGTGTATTCACAGTCGGTGGTGATGATATTGCTTTGAAGTTTGGTCAATTGATATTTTGTCATAGTCGAACATATCAGATTGTCTTTAGGATATTGCATTGACCAACACCAAGCGATACCCGTAAAACAAGGCCATGCATATTTATATATGTACGAGTAGTACACTTAGCCGGAATGTCGTTTTGGATTATATTGAAACACATTTTGATATAAATCGCTAGAAATGGACACATTGCCCGGATGTTTGCAACTTTTCTTCACGGCCGATTGCATTATACACAACTCGAGGCGTTTCTGTATACCGGTGTCATCAGCGTTAACTTTTTGTAATTAATTGTTTTTGTGTTTAGGTTAAAAACAGTATGTTTTGCAGCGTTGAATTTGTTTTTTATGATTCTTAAACTACAGTGTTGACTAGGAGTGTTAACTGTTACCGAAAGCAGTCCGTGAAAACAACATTATCACTAAAAACATCTTAAATGCAGTATCAGCATATGATGTTTTAGTGTTTGGAAACATTCCTTTAGAAAATGACAAATTATTAAACG